GATGGATTGATTGATCGATTGATTGATTGATTGATCGATGGATGGATGGATGGATGGATGGATGGATGGATGGATGGATGGATGGATGGATGATGGATAAACTATCCACTGTGAGAGTCCATGCACCAACATCACTCAACTTCTGTCAGCTCTTTGTGCTACAGCTCGTTCCTACAGCTTTTAGCTTCTGTTCTTCATTTTCTCCTCTCCCAAAGGAGAGGAGCTTACTGTTTTACTTTGGATCTGGCGTCTCCGATTCCATTGTTCTCTCCCTGACACTAGTTACACCCGGGGATTATTCTACCTACACAATTGCCGTTGTGCACACAGACTGAAGTGTACTTATCGATGTCTAAATGTAAACAATGACTTATAATTGTTGGCAACAATATCTGACTCTGATTTCACTCATTTATTACAAATTGTACTGTTGACTTTTGGTAGTAAATTGTGCATATTTAGTTGTTACTTTTATTAGATATAATACACATATACAAAAATAAAAAAACAGCTAATGTTCATATTTTAATTGATTGTGGCTTTAAGGTAGTATCTAGCTGTGCTGTGACTGTTCACAACATAACACAAAAAGTAAAAAAATGTACTTGGTCAGTGTTTTTGTTGTTGTGACCATGCTGCTTGACAATAAATTATATACTGGTGGAAAGCCTGTTAATAATTTCTTAAATTGAATCACATTTGTTAGGACAAGAGCTTTTGTGGGTTGAGCAGCAATATTGAGTTGCACACATGAAAAACTTTCCAAATTTCTGCCAATGCCTAGCAGCTTGTTCTACTATTGACTCTTGAGCTTCTGGCACTCCAGGGGCTGACAATCTGAGCACGGGCCCTGCTACAGTGGTCAGTTGGTGCCTGCTTGAAGCATGCCATGTTTGACTGATATAAATAGGGCAACTTCAAGCTGGTGTCTCTCAAAACCAAGTTGGTGCATTCTTTAGAGTGAACAGTCTTCAAATTGAAGGCCAAGTTCCTTATAACAGGAGATGTCAGATACAGGTGGAGAGGTGGGAGCCCCATGAACACAATGCCACAAGACGATAATTTCCTCACCATGTCATAATTTCTTCACCATAGTTTCATTCCACCTCATGTACTTACATGTGATGTGAATGACAATAAAAAACCTTGAATCCTTGAATGTCAGCATGTAGACAGTTTTCTACAGAACTGTAGTCAATGTTTTGCAGGACAATATGGTTGATAGCTATCTACCCATAGAATCTTGAAGAGACTGCACACAACCAATCTCAAATCTCATAAGGCTGCCAGACAACCTGCAATGATTGCCTTTACACTCAGGCTTGTTTGTGCTGGTGTCGGGAATGTGCACTGGAACCTGAACATGTGAACAAATGTTCTGTTCAGCAGTGAGTTCAGATTCTGCCTGTGGAAGTTGAATCATAGGGTCAAAGTATGGAAAAGATGTGGAGAACGCTGTTCTGACTGCTGCATTGATAAAATAGCTTTGGTGGAAGTGTGCGGGGTGACATCTCCATCACTGAAAAATCGAAGCCTGTCATCATTGGAGAATCTCAATGCACAGCAATCCTGCGTTGAGATTTTGCAACCAGTGTCAATCCCAACTCTCCAATGTCTGGGACTGAACTGTATCCTCCAAGATGTCAACGCTCACCCCCACAAAACGGAGTTAATCTGAGACTTGAACACCATTGAACACCTTGTGAGCTTGGGCTGTTTTGTTGCAGAATGACCACAACCATATTAACTGACTTATCGCAAATGTTAGTTTAAAATGGAATGACCAAGCAGTAAACTGGATAAGGAAGAGGTATTAGGCTGTTGTGGCTGTGTAGGGTTCTTCCATGTGCTTTGAGTCACATGCTTGTTAAATAAATTGTTCAGTTGCCAACATGCTTTGTCAAACTTCAATAATCAAATCCAATAAACTTAAGCTTAGCCTACTAGAAAAATTGACCCAATTTCCTTAAATGACTTGCTAAAATTGAATAGTTTTCATTTTATACTATTTCTATCTTAACATGTGATTCTTGACCTGCCATTGTGTATCTGTTCTTATACCACACCCAGCCAGTCGAAGCAGATGAGCTCTTGTCCTGAGCCTTGTTCTGCTAAAGGTTTCTTCTTCATGAGGGAGTTTTTCCTTTCCACTGTTGCCTTCATGCTGCTCAGGATGAGAGTTCTGTGATGGTTAAACTCAAAGTAGTCTGCTCCTCAGAAAAATAAGTGTTAAATTATTATTTTATATAAGAATGGTTCTGTTAACTTATTATTTTTATATATACTGTAAATGTTTCTGTTCAGTGCCCTGAGATTACTTCTATTGTGACTTGGCACTATATAAATAAACTGAACTGAATTAAATTAAACAACAGCAGACAGCAGTAAACAGAATAAGCTGTTTGGCATTGGCAGAAAAGATTAGGCACAACTCATATATTCAAATTTGTTGCTCAACCCACTAAAGTATTTTCCTTACAAATGTGGCACCAGTTAGGGGAAACAGGTTTTCTACAATTATGAAATGTATTTTATTTACGCCTCCTTGAATCGTTAGGATTGTGGAGGAGTTTGTGTGCCCGAATGATCCTGGGAGCTATGCTGTTGGGGGCACTTGTAATTGCCCCTGGTAGTGTCTCCCAAGAAAGACTGGTTCTAGGTGATAGGTCAGACAAAGAGCGGTTCAGAAGACTTATATGGACAAACAACAAAGAGCTCAGTGTCCCTTGCCCAGACGTGGGTTACTGGGGCCCCACCCTGGAACCAGGCCTGGGGGAGGGGCTTGTCGACGAGCACCTGGTGACCGGGTCTCCATCCATGGGGCCTGGTCGAGCTTGTCCCGAAGGGAATCATCCTGGTCAGTAGTCAACTTGTCAACGCATTTTCTTTTTTTTATATACATTTCTCTTTACTCCATGCACTATGATTGATGTCACAACTAGATTGACATTGACAGAACATAAAGTGTAAAATGACTACACTATTTCTTTTAAGTAAATTATGACATTAGCTTGTTTTGCAGTTAAAACGCTAAAATATGTACTTACCTTTGACAGAAGTCTGTTTCCATCATTATCAAGTATAAAAACAGCTTTAACTGTGTATAGGGAAGGTTCCTGCAACAACACAGAAAAAGACAATAAAAAATCTTAAGTTTTGTTGAGTTACCTCACAGAAACATTTACGATGTAACGCCAGAAGTCCATTTACTCTCATCTTCTTCAGTCTTTGGTTTAAACCTTACTAACCATTGGTGAACATAAGCGGTTTTTGGTTGTCCGAGACAATCTACTTTCATCTTAGACAAACAGATCTCGCCTCAAGATTGTCCGGTGGACAATCAAGTGAAATAGACATGGATTACAGGTCCTTCTAAAAAAATTAGCATATTGTGATAAAGGTCATTATTTTCCATAATGTAATGATAAAAATGAAACTTTCATATATTTCAGATTCATTGCACACCAACTGAAATATTTCAGGTCTTTAATTGTTTTAATACTGATGATTATGGCATACAGCTCATGAAAACCCAAAATGCCTGTCCCAAAAAATTAGCATATTTCATCCCACCAATGAAAGACAAGTATTTTTAATACAAAAAACACCAACCTTCAAATAATCATGTTCAGTTATGCACTCAATACTTGGTCGGGAATCCTTTTGCATGAATGACTGCTTCAATGCGGCGTGACATGGAGGCAATCAGCCTGTGGCACTGCTGAGGTGTTATGGAGGCCCAGGATGCTTCGATAGCGGCCTTAAGCTCATCCAGAGTGTTGGGTCTTGCGCCTCTCAACTTTCTCTTCACAATATCCCACAGGTTCTCTATGGGGTTCAGGTCAGGAGAGTTGGCAGGCCAATTGAGCACAGTAATACCATGGTCAGTAAACCATTTACCAGTGGTTTTGGCACTGTGAGCAGGTGCCAGGTCGTGCTGAAAAATGAAATCTTCATCTCCATAAAGCTTTTCAGCAGATGGAAGCATGAAGTGCTCCAAAATCTCCTGATAGCTAGCTGCATTGACCCTACCCTTGATAAAACACAGTGGACCAACACCAGCAGCTGACATGGCACCCCAGACCATCACTGACTGTGGGTGCTTCACACTGGACTTCTGGCATTTTGGCATTTCCTTCTCCCCAGTCTTCCTCCAGACTCTGGCACCTTGATTTCCAAATGACATGCAAAATTTGCTTCATCTGAAAAAAGTACTTTGGACCACTGAGCAACAGTCCAGTGATGCTTCTCTGTAGCCCAGGTCAGGCGCTTCTGCCACTGTTTCTGGTTCAAAAGTGGCTTGACCTGGGGAATGCGGCACCTGTCGCCCATTTCCTGCACACGCCTGTGCACGGTGGCTCTGGATGTTTCTACTCCAGACTCAGTCCACTGCTTCCGCAGGTCCCCCAAGGTTTAGAATCGGCTCTTCTCCACAATCCTCCTCAGGGTCTGGTCACCTCTTCTCGTTGTGCAGCGTTTTCTGCCACACTTTTCCCTTCCCACAGACTTCCCACTGAGGTGCCTTGATACAGCACTCTGGGAACAGCCTATTCGTTCAGCAATTTCTTTCTGTGTCTTACCCTCTTGCTTGAGGGTGTCAATGATGGCCTTCTGGACAGCAGTCAGGTCGGCAGTCTTACCCATGATTGTGGTTTTGGGTAATGAACAAGGCTGCGAGTTTTTAAAAGCCTCAGGAATCTTTTGCAGGTGTTTAGAGTTACGTCGTTGATTCAGATGGTTAGGTTAATAGCTTGTTTAGAGAACCTTTTCATGATATGCTAATTTTTTGGGACAGGCATTTTGGGTTTTCATGAGCTGTATACCATAATCATCAGTATTAAAACAATTAAAGACCTGAAATATTTCAGTTGGTGTGCAATGAATCTGAAATATATGAAAGTTAAATTTTTATCATTACATTATGGAAAATAATGACCTTTATCACAATATGCTAATTTTTTGAGAAGGACCTGTAAAATTCTCTGTCATCACAATGGATTTCAGTCATCTAAAAATAAAAGGGGGAAAAATGCATTTTGTTGTGGTCTTGTTAAAGCCATCCAATCTAATGATGCAGTGTGCACTAAATTCCCACTAGAGGACAGTGATGAACAGGTGACTGTGAATCAAGTAGTAGCTAAGCCTGCTAAACACGTTCCAGGGATCCTTAAGTAGTGCTGCATCTTGCAGCACCACATTTTCACTGCTTTGGTAAGCTAACACTTTGCCTCGACGTCTTGCCTCGATGAAACACTAGCATTGTCGGTCGAGGATGCTGAAGATACAAAATTGGATTATGATAACAGGATTTCTGCTTTTTGGGAGTTGGTGGTTACTTGTCTTATTGACAAATTCACAAAACGTCAGCAGCTATTCTGGCCATTGTTAAGCTGCCTGGCATGGAAGTAATGTGCCATGCGATCAAGACTCAGACTCAGACGCAGTGTGAGCGAATCTCGCTGGTGGGAAGGAATAAATCTTGGAGAAATTGGAAGCTCGACTTGGCATATGTAATCACAATTTGGCTGATTGGAGTCACCATGAGTTTTACTAGCAAGACTGTAAAGGCAGATGGAAATGAACTGCTCAGCCTGACCCAAAACAAATGCTGATATCTGAATCTGGAATCTGGCTCCCCCTGTGATGGCCTTGGAATGTTGACTATCTCAATTTCTCCTAGATGTTGTGTAAGCAAGACACTCTGCAGTGACACAGCATGAGATTGATTTTTTTTTAACCTCCTCTTCCTTCGTGTTCCCCTTTCTTTAATCTAACGAAAAAGGTGTGCCTCTCAGAGGCTGCTGCCTCAGTCACCCCGTCTACCCAAGTCTGTGTCTGTTTGTTTGTTTGTGGTTCTTTGAATGGGCTGTGCTGAAATGTGCATTGTGCTCTGTGCAATGACAGTAAAGTTGATTCTGATTCTGAACAGTCGTTTTCATTCATCTTTATTATTGAGCTTGTGGAGCTAAAATATGCTAATGTAAGATGCCAAGTTGTTACTAGGTTAAATTTCCTATACCTTGTTCATGGTGAAGCAAAATGGTAAATTGCAGATACCATACAACTGTCCATACCACTGTCTTTGAAATTCTCCATGCACTTGTTCATAAATGCTGATGTAACCCAGAATGGACAGCTTGAGCTTCTCAGTAAAGTTCATGAGGACTAAATCCTTCCTTATTGTACCTCTATGATTAGAGTCCCACCATATTGATGAGAAACACGCTAGTCATTATTCTTATCTACAATACAGGGATTAAAATGATGCTGCTTTCAACCAATAAAGAGAGCCACAGCCACAGTTTTATCCAATCAGAGCAGAGCAGGATGGGTTGTGCTGTTTGATACATGGAGAGCACAGAGCAGTGTTCCCAACCTACAGACAGATTGCAGGTGAGAGCACCACTTATTTCCTGTGTTACTGTATTTGCCAAGGAGGACACCTCGCTACCCTAATGGAACCACGTGACCACCCCCATGAAGGTAATAACGTAAATTATTAAACGTCTACGCATTAAACGAATGTGTTTGCACATGACAAATTAACTGCAACCAGGAGAGATACCAGAATTGATACACCATCAACACCACCCCCTTGTGCCGCACCGCGACCCGACCTCCCTGGACTTTGTATCTAAAATCCAACTTTGTGTTAAATGCTAATGCGTTGGGAGCACCGTCAGCGTACAGACAAGTACAACTTATCGTATAACTAAACTCTTGGCCCGAGAGAGAGCATGCATGCGGGAGCACGCTCAACCTGAGTGTCTCTCATGGCGAGAGAGCAGGCAGCGTCTGCAACTTTATGTCTTATTATTAAACAATAATGATAAAAGACAAATATTTATGTCTCAGATTAGAGTACCAACATGTCTCTGTTTAATTTTGTCCTCAAACTCTCTCTCTGTGAGAGAGTCACTTTCAGGTGTTTATAGTTTATACTAAATATTTGTAAATTTAAGTTCTACACTGAGTTTTAGCAATAATGATGTGTTGAGTACAAGGGCATCAGAAGCATCCGTAGTGTGGGGGGGACACAATGTGTGTAGGTGTGTCTGCGCGCGTGCATGTGTGCGCACGTAAAAAAAAGTGTTCATTAGTGAACAAAAAAGCAGCATTTCACCTAGATTTCCTTTAATTCCACACATTTAAAACATGTTTCTCACCAAGTTTGTGTAAATTCAGCTGTGGGTTTTAAAGACATTTTAACTTTAATACACTTTAATACAGAGCGTCTCAGCGTTCAGCACTATTTGTCTTTATAGAGAAATAAAAAACATCACCACTGGACTTTTTTTACTTGTGTTCAACACTACTCATCTAAATGATTTGATCATGATGTTTCTCATGAAGCTTGAGGACAATAAGGTGTGGGGTTTTAAAGACATTTCAACTTTAATGCACCTGAACACACCACGTCTCTTACACCTGCAGCGTCTTACAGCGTCACAGTTACTGCTAAGACAAGATGCGCTTCTCTCAAGCATCCTCTTAACATGAATATATGTTTATGATCAACCCCCTGGTCAACAACTGCTCGCACAAAGCTGCTAAACTGGCGAGCGAGTAACACAGGTACCACCACCTCCTTCACCTGTGCACGTTTTCTGCCGAGGCAGGAGGCAGGAAGCGACGGTGGAGAGTTGGAGGTAACCAGGAAAACCTGGAGTTTTAGTGGCCTGAGTATTCTCCTATTAATCAAGTGGAATGGATTTGTTCATGAAGAAAGAAACTGCGCCACCTGAACTAATGTTTTATAGTAAAAGTGGGGGGGTCCAAATGAATGTTTTTTTAATGTGGGGGGGACTTGTCCCCTTCACATATAATGGTTGCGATGCCTATGGTTGAGTATATTCTTCATTAATCTTTTTTGTATCTAAAAAAACATTATTCCCTTCTTATATTCTTATTACTCCCTTATTATTTAGAGTTGTGCTCATGTTTGGGACCCGAAAGCCCCAGGTTCGATCCCCAGTCACTGCACACATTGTGGTGTCTCTGGACAGCACACCTCATCCCCAAAATCCCCCCCCCCCCTGCACTTTCAATAGCTGCCCACTGCACCACCTGGTGGTGAATGGGTTAAATGCGGGGACTAATTTCACCATTGTCTGGAAACATACAGTGATGACATTGTGATGACATTATTATTGTTATTATTATTATGTTCAGCCAATAACATGAGCCACAAGGAATGGGGTGGATGAAACTTCAATGTTGGGGGCTCTCTGTAACACACACGCTTTTTTTTTCACAACATGCACTTGTGGACAGATGTTACTTTTTGTTTCCATTTGACACTTTCATCTCACAAACTGTGTCCTAGCTTTGGTTCTGATTGATGGCTTTTCCTGTTACCAGTTACAATTTTCTATGGGTAAAATAAACCAATGACTGAATACAAATGTGTTACTCCTACACACACACACACACTCACACACACACACACACACACACCTGATATACTCAATCCATGGATCTGTCCCAATGAAGAGGTTTCAGTCCCGGGACAAAGTTCTGTTATGCACTGACTAGCAAAGATTCACAGTCTGAGTGTATCACAGAACTTGGACCAGAAACTTAGAACAATGTCAGTATTAGATATCAGTTTAATACACACACACACACACACGCACACACACACACACACACACAAATATACACCCTGAGGAGTTCCCAGGGCAGAGAAGATACACAATCCCTGTGAGATGTGCCCAGAAAGCCTCTAAAGGGAAGTGTCCACAACACATCCCAATTAGATGCTTGAACCACCTCAACTGACTTCTTTTGCAAAGGAGGTCCCCCCCAGATCACAGAGATCCTCACCCCATGTCTAAAGTTGAGCCTGGAAACACTCACTGGAAGCTCATTTCAGCTGCTTCTATCCAGGACTTAGTTCTTTCAGTCATGCCCCAAACCTCATAACCACAGGTGAGAGTCAGAGCGTAGACAGACCAGTAAATCATGAGCTTTGCAATTCGACTCAGCTCTTTCCTGACCGGAGGGTCACAATCCTTCGATCCATCTCCCACTCCACCTAGCTATCATTTGTGAGCAAGATGTCCAGATACTGGAACTCCTCCACCTGAAGCCTCCACCTGACTCCCCCACAATCTGGAGGGCATTCCCCGTTTCCAGTCTAACAGCTGCAGGAATATAATCATTAATTTCTTCCATTGTGAGTTTTACACTAAAATTATTTTAAACTAAAATTGTGTAATTGTTTACAAATCAAAGTCTGGGCAGAAATTGTTATTTCACTCCAGGTTTGTGGCAACAATTGTTGGCCAGAGATGTGAAGTGGAGGTGGTTAATGCTGCCACACTTTGAACTGCTCAGGAACCAGTCTGGCCACAGTCACGCTGGGAGTATTGGCTGAAGAGAACCAACATTACTCTCTGAAATCCAATATTTGCAGTGGAACTGCTAACTCTCCTGGACAGAGAGGTCTGCATGTGGGGGCTGCTTAATGAACGGCGTGACTCTACCGTTGATCAAATGATGGATAACATCCTGAAGATGCTGTTCTCCTTCTCCATCACACGATAAACTTTCTCACTGGGCCAAATCACCCCCCCACCCCCCCACCTCAAAAAAAAGAAAACGTTTTATATTCTAAAGATGACGACATTTCACTTCCCATATGGGAAGCTCTCTCAGTTTAAAACCGGAGTGTGGAGCTCCAAGCTTCAATCCACACGAGATGCTCCGTTCATGCAGTAAATCCACAGATTCACCGTGAGGCTCCTTGTTCGCCTGGTTAACAAGAGATGTTGTTTTGGTCACAATGAAGCATGCATGAAGATGTGAACTGGAGTGAAACTAACTGGGAATCAAATGAAATGCTGCATTGTACATTTCTGAAAGTTAAAATCTGAGCCCTCTTCCTCTGTTTAAAGTGTTTATTGCCTGCTCAACATGAATGGCTTCCTTCACACAGCCTCTCAAAGCACCTGTCTCATCTGTCCAAAACATGAACATTTTGGTTCCCCAAGGAGGTGTAGGTACACAGCTGAGTGTTGTCCTGAGGAGCTGGCTCTCCTGTGCTGGGTCATGGATCAGAGGTTGTTTGGTTTCTCCAAAATAAAAGTCTGAACTTTCCACTGAACTGCAAACCCACATGGTTCAGTTTGAGATTGGGCGTCCTACCCTTGAGATGGACCAGCCTCTTTCTGAGTCCTGTAAGGTTTGAAATGTAACCTAACTGGACACTAGGCCCTGTTCACAATGTTGAAGAGAAACTTCGCCTTTCTGCTGCGTTTTAGCTGCTCATGAGCATGGCAGCACATTTATTGTGACAGTGCATCTGTTATCTCAGTGAATGTCATAGTGTTGTAATAACACAAATCAGATTTCTACAGCATGCTGTCAATGTGTGTGTGTGTGGGGGGGGGGGGGGGCTTCCTGGAGATCAACAACTGGGGTTCTCACCTATACAATGACCCTGTGGGGAAAAAAAATGTTTCTGCTCCTGTCAGAGAGAGCAGATTTATCAAGCATTTTGAATTCACCTTCAGATATAAACCTTAAATTATTTTCCATCTAATATTATTTATTGAAAACAACACAGCCATTATTTAACTCACTGAATCTGAAATTTTATAAAAATGTTAGTGTCCCTACCTAGACCCTGCATCATGATATGAGGCAATGAGAAAGAAAATCTGTTTAACTTAGACCACTTGTCTTTATTCAAGGAGAAAAGTTTTAATTTTTAAATAAAATATACATTAAAATTTTAACAACTCCGTGTTCAAACACAGTCATTTACTTGTTTATGGTGTTCTACTTCTCCCACCCATAGGAACTGAAAAATAATGTAAAAGTCAAATGTTGTGGAGCAGGCAGCTGAGGCAGAGCCGTGGACGTGGCACCCACCACGCTGTCCACGTCACTACATGTCTGCTCATCACGCAGGTCCTGAAGGTCCCAGACCTGGGTGAAAACACACCGGATCTGTGCAACAGAACCGCATCTGTGCTGGTCTGAGGGTCGGACAACAGCCGTGGATCTACAGGTCCACAGAAAAACTCGTCCCGACGACACGCATGCTGCTATTTTTACACCAACAGGCAGAAAAAATAACTACTTAAGTCAGGCTTTGAACGCATCACAAACACTGATCTGATCCGGCTTGCGCGTCCACAGTCGGACGCACCCCCACCGCCATGATCCTCTTCAAAGTCCTGTTAATGCCGCCGTGGCCCCTCCACTCCCCCGCCTGCCCTCCTCCAGCTATCCCCCGTTAATGTCCACCACCGACAACCCCGGAATACCCAGCACGATTCTGAGAAAAACATTATTCCACCCCTGCAGTGCAACAAACCAGTGCCCCTCACCCGCAAGACCAAGGACCGGATTGTGAGTCCGAGCGAACCGAGAAGAATCTCACCAGGTTCGTGGAGTCCATGTCTGCTGCCGATCCGAGCTCACTCTGTTGACGTGGACTACTCTGAGCTGTCACACTGGGCACTGCTGTTGCCAGAGAAAAAATCACGAAATATATTACTGTCGAGTTACAGTGATCGAATTTTGACCCAAGCTATCGTATGTACTGAGTGAACTTTTTTATGTGCATATAAGTGCAAAAATTAACATATACTTGTGCTTTTAAAAAGGTACTTTATATAGCCATCGAGTCCATATCCCCCCCAAAAAGTTCATTTTTCCTATATCTGGCAACAGTCCGGCACGCTCTCGCAGCCAAACCTCCAGCAGAACGCGCACTGACACGCCTTTTCCGCCTTTCTGCCTTTCACAATAAAAGTAGACGGGCCCTTGGAAATCAGCTGGGTGAAGCTGACACCCACCCACGTAAAAAAAAAAAGGCAAATACAATACAATTACAATAGTGGTCAGTTTGTGCTGGTTTGTGCTGTTAAAATATTTGTTTGTGCTGCTTTGATTTCTGAGATATTAATCATTATTTTTTTAGGGTCATAGAGGTCATCATCTCCCCATCTTGCTCCAAAACAAACAAAACTGGTCGCTTTTTTAAGTGCTTCTTGTGCTGGTTTGTGCCATTAAATCCGTCATTTGTGCAGCTTTCATTATCAGATATTAGAAGTTATAATTTTGCAGATGACGTCACCATCCCCATCTTGCTCAAATCGCCATGGTTGCAATGAGCGAATAAAACCTCTCCAGTTTAACTTCCTGAGATACGATCAAACCAAGTCCCATCAGATTTACGACAAAACACTCCACGCGCGCATTGAACCTCCCAACAATCAGTGACCACACACGCACAATTCAACGTCCCACGAGCTGCAGCTGGTGCAATCTGCTCGCTCATTGATCTACTCATGCACGCTCATGTAAAGCATTGGGACCAAGTGTAGAAAAAGTTAATCCAAAATGTTAAGCTTCATATGATTGGCTGGATGGATGGGTGCATGATGGATGGATAGGTGGGTGGATGGATGGATGCGTGGATGGATGGATGAGTGGGTGTGTGGATGCATGGATGGATGAGTGTATGGATGGTTGAATGGATTTATGGGTGGATGGATGGATGGATGGATGGATGGTTGGTTGATGGATGGATGAGTGGGTGGATGGATGGATGGATGGATGGATGGATGGTTGAATGGATGGATGGATGGGTGGATAGATGGATGTCACAAAAAAGGACATATCCTTCAGGGGCAGAGAAAAGAAAGAGGAAGAGAAAAAGAGCCAAGATAAAGGTATGTTTGCACATTTTGGTAATATTGATCAAAAAGATTTGTGTAACTGCTAATAGAGAATTTGCTACCAATCTTGAACGGTCCAGTTAAACAGCTAAACATTTATGCTAGCGTGTTTGTATTTGTGTATAATTGTGTTTTAATTTTAAATGAGTTGATTCTCGTGGTTGATCCTATATATATATATATATATATATATATATATATAAAAATATATATATTTTTTTTTTTTTTTTTTTAATAATACGTTAGCTTTTTGCTGACGTTTTATAACAATAATTAAAACGTCACAGTGTTTGACATTTGCTAGCAAAATGTTTTTACATCAGGCTACATGGCTATTACATTGATATATCAGTGTTTCCTCTAACATTATACAAGCGGGGTGCCCACCCCAGAGCCCCAGAGCCCTATAAAGAGAGAGTTGCGACACGCTTTGAACTCGCCGATACGCGGTCACGTGGTTCATGCAGCTCTCAATAGTTCCAAACAGCTCATCGCTGTCAGTCAGTTTGAGCAGCTGCTGGCGCAACATAACACAAAAATCGACTTTTCTTACTTTACCTGACGTCTTTCAGTAATTATTGAGCAGTAACGAACTGATTACTGATTATTTCACAGACTATGCATTTTATCAAAGCATTTTGAGACGCGGCAGATACATTTATCATTAAATTTTAGAAGGGAACGAGTCTGCAAACACATATTTGTTAGAATTTTTTTTAATATGTAATACAATGATCAATATAGCCATGTCAGTGTTTTATAACGTTACACACATTTAAAAGATCAGAGTAACTCCTGTTATAAAGTTATTTCTGATGTTCTCTGCATGAGAATGCTCCACCTTGTCCTCCATGCAGCAGTTCAGATCTGCTCCAGCTTACCTTAGAACATCTGGATGAATTCTTGATTTCTATAGAAGATATTAATTCAACCTTTATTTAAACAGGTTCGTCCCATTGAGCCACGAGGACTCATTTACAAGACAGACTGAATATAATTGTTGTATTTGTTGTTTTTTTATGGCAACCAAGTACCTGATAACTGAGGTGATTGTGCTTGTAGCCTGACAACTATTGTAAAATTGTAATTCATTGATTAAAATGTTAATTTAAATGAAACTGTAAAATCATAACAGATGACAAAATAAGTGTTAGTCAGAGTCAGAGTTTCTTTATTGTCATTCGCATCTCATGTGGTACATGTGGTGGAGAGAAATTATGTACACAAGGTCCCAGACAACAGAGTCAATATCAAAACTTCTAAAAACTGGGATGGTACCGGCAGCCTGTGAAGCTGCAACTGCTCTGAGTGCGGTCATCTTGGCATTGTTAATTGTGCAAAAATAAATTTCCAAACAATTTATTATAAAATATGTAGCATGTAAAACAAGCTTTAATAAAGTACTTTTACTGCCATTTATACTGTTTATTAATGACATCATCTCAAGTCAGCAGCAGCACCATCACCATCATCATCATCACAACAACACAAAGTGAGAGCTGTAAATTTAATTTGCACAAACATTTTCAATCAGGGCTCAAAATGTTTAACTGTCAAAGAAATGTGCAAGAAAAAAACTAATGTCACTCTACAGGCACATTTAGAGAGAGGACAGTTCAGAGAGACACAGTGAGGACGTGAGACTGAAGGAAGTTCAACAAGTTGTTCATGGACCAGAACCAGATGAGAAGAACAGCAGAACTTCCACTGACCAGTGATCTGACCAGTGACCTGACCAGTGATCACACATGTTGTTCTAAAATAAACTTTGGTACGAACAGTGTTAAATACGACATGCCATATTTTTTATTGAACAATAATCTTCATTCTAACAGTGACGTTGTAATTTCAGAGACTGAGGAAGAAACAGAAATGAGGCGAGTGAGATGAGGGAAAGATGAAAATGTGTCCTAAGAGGACAGGGACATGTCAGGAACTGATGATCCAGGATCAACAGGACCAGGAGGATGGATCAACAGGCAGTCAGGGAACAGAGATGAACAACCTGAGGGAACAATTAGAACAAAAAAATACATAAGCAGGACAGAAGAAACTCACAGACAAGAACATTAACTCAGTCCTGTGGAGAAAAATGTTAATGGAAAATAAATTGACATATTTTTACAAAAGATCAGATGAAGACAACTGGCATGAAGAATAACTTCCAGCTCCATCTCAATGTACCTGTGATAGTTTAATAAGAGTTTTTGTTACTGTTCTACAGTTTATTGATGCTGATATATTCTTGGTAATAATTCTTATTTCTTGTTCTGTCTTGAAAGAGTCTCATCTCAACTTGACCCATGATTACCAAACGCTAAACTAATAATATATAGCTAATGTAATTTAACAGTCCTGCAGTAAATACCAACTTTATGAAGGTTATGGTGTTAAAGTAATTTTATTCAAACATCTTGATTAACTCTCTCAGACAGATAGAAGGAAGACTGGCTCCTAAATGTCTCTGTTTCTTCAAAACATCTTTCTGTCTGTTCTTAAAACATCTACTCTGTCTCCTTGACATGTAATGACCCTCTGACGTCACTAAAACCACACCCCGGTTGGTTCGTTCAACCAATCAGGAAGTTCTCAGAGGAACCGGAAGTGACCTCTTTAAAAGGGTCGACACTTCCTAGTTCCAAGCAGAACAAGAGTTCCAGCAGAACAACGTTCCAGAGCAGAACAAGAGTTCCAGGGAGAACCTCGAATGAGAAGTTCCGAGGAACAGAAGTTCCGAGCAGTTTCTAATGGAGTGACAAGAGTCCGTCGATGCCACGACGTCTCGCTGTGGCTCTACCCGACGAACGCTCTGAACAATGAGGAAGTCTGTTCTGTGATGATCTCACGACTCCTGAGGTCACAGCTGTTCTTACGGAGACGCTGAAAAGAGTTGAAAGAAAACTCTATACCGAAGCCGAAACTATCGTCTGCAAAGGTAAAAGAGTCTATCTTCAACTGCGAGTGTACCGTGGGTTAAGCTGCGTCTAAAGGAGCGTGTTGTTTCTGGTTATACAGACACATTCCCTCACCCATCTCTCTCCATTTAAACTTCATTTCCCCATCTTTAAAACTCTTATATCTGCCAGTAATTAATCCAGATATTTTCAGAAATGTCTGTTGTATTTCAGTTACAAGTGAGAAATCATGGCCGTATGATTTCTCATTGTAAAGCTCATTAATTAAGCTGTGTTAATTGTAATCAATCTGCCAATTAATGTAAATGTGTGATGTTGTTTTAAATCGTTTTTAATTAAACGGCTCACTGTTGTGGTGGGTCAAAGATAAAACACGTTTCCGTCCACATTTAATCATTCAAGGCACGATATTACTCAGTCCAGAAAAATGAAAGAATCCGTTTAAATTATGGATAATATCAGACCCATATTATCTCTCATTACAACTGGTGGCCCGTAACGGGTTCATGAAATGGACTGTGCTATTCTGTAACACTTGAATTTATCATGTTGGCATATCTGATCTTAACTGAAATTAGCTTAAAAGTGCAGATTTCTGTTCGACTGTGAAACGCAGCGTTTTGCAGCTGTGGGGTTCAGAGAAAATACAGTGATATGTTTTTCAGTTGTGGTGTTTTTAGAGCTGAAAATAACGTCAATGTGTTCATATTAAAGCTGAAATTTGTACATCTGTGGTATAACTGAAGCTGTTATGTTGTGGTGAAATGTTTGATTCTGTTTAAACTTTTATCAGAAGGGGGTTCTGTTCAG